AGGAATGGTGAATTCTTCCCGGAAGGTTTTCAGTTTATTTTGCCCTGATCCATCAGAAGAATCACTACCTATTTCAGCTATCACATATGAAATGTATTTCCAATTAAGAAACATCAAAATTACTTCTCTATTCATGGGCTGTAGAAAGAATATTTTGTTAGCAGGCATGAAAACATTAATCTCCTTGTATATCTCCATCAGAGCTCTTGGGTACGGGGTGACCAACTGCATTGTCAGTGAGCAGTAATATTTTAAAAGAAGTCTTTTTTTTTAAATTTTCTAAGAGTAGGTGTCAACAGTGGACTGGAAATATTAAGTAAATCATGCTATAAACAGATGTGCTGTCATCCAGGCTTCATTGCTCCATATATTGAGCACAGATTTAGCATAATTGTGAAGGACTCTAGGATTTTCAGAATAGTAAATGAGCATTGGCTTCAACTTAGTCACCAGCTGTGTTGACCCCTAACAAGAGAGTCAGCCTGTTCCTTGAAGCTTTGAAACCAGTCATTAAGTTCTCCTCTCTAGCTATGATAGTCTTAAATGGCATCTTCTTACAATAAAAGGCTATTTTATATACATTGAAAATCTGTTGTTTAATGTAACCACCATCATCAACAATTTTAGCTAGATCTTCTAGGTAACTTTCCCAACTTCTACATCAGCATTTGCTGCTTCATATTGTATTTTTATGTTATGAAGACGGCTTCTTTCCTTAAACCTCATGAACCCACTTCTGCTAGCTTCAAGCTTTTCTTCTGTAGCTTCCTCACCTCTCTCAGCCTTCTTAGAATTGAAGAGAGTTAGGGTCTTGCTCTGGATTAGGCTTTGGCTTAAGGGAATGTTGTGGATGGTTTGATCTTCTATCTAGACCACTAAAACTTTCTCCATGTCAGCAATAAGACTGTTTCACTTTCATATCATTGGTGTGTTCACTGTAGTAGTACTTTTAATTTCTTTCAAGAATGTTTCCTTTGCATTCATAACTTGTCTGTTTATCAAAAAAAGGCTAGCTTTTGGCTTCTCTTGTGACATGCCTTCTCACTAAGTTTAATCATTTCTAGATTGTGATGTAAAGTGAGAGGTATGCTACTCTTCCTTTTTCTTGAACACTTAGGGGCCATTGTAGGGTTATTAATTGGCCTTATTTCAATACTGTTGTGTCTCAGGGAATAGGGAGGCCCAAGAAGAAGAGGGCGAAACTAGGGAAGAGCCTGTTGGTAGAGGAGTTAGAACATGCATGTTTATTAAGTATACCACTTTATAAGCATATGGTTTGTGGCTCCCCAAAACAGTTAC